AGATGCTCAGTATCATTAATCATCAGAGAAATGCAAATTTAAAACTGTCATGATGCACCACTTCACACTCACTAAAATAGCTAAAACTAAAAAGACTGACAGTACCTACTTTTAGCCAGGCTGTGGAGCAAAATTTAATGCTCACACATTTCTGGTGGTAGTGCTAAATTGTATGTATATATGTATGTGTGTATATATGTGTGTGTGTCTATGTAATATATATATATAAATGATATATCTCATATGATAAATAAGATATATAAATATATTAGCATTCAATAGTGAAGGCAAAATAAAGACATTTTATTTTTTTATTATGTTATGTTAATCACCATACATAACATCATTAGGTTTTGATGTAGTGTTCCATGATTCATTGTTTGCGTATAACACCCAGTGCTCCACGCAGAACGTGCCCACTTTAATACCCATCACCGGGCTAACCCATCCCCCCACCCCCCTCCCCTCTAGAACCCTCAGTTTGTTTCTCAATGGACTTTGAGAAAATAAAGACATTTTAAATGTCTATGGAAAAAGAGTTGCCCATCCATATATATACACTGAGAGAACTATTAAAGGATAGATTATACCAAGAAGAAAAGGGCAGAAGAAAGGAATGGGATACACAAAGCACCAGAAAGCAAAGTAATTGGCAAAGCATATTGGTAAATCTAAGTAGTTACTAAAACAGATAACATCTTATGTGTTAAAAAACAACACTAATACTGGGGCGCTCAGTTGTTAAGCATCTGCCTTCAGCTCAGGTCATGATCCCAGGGCTCTGGGATCAAGTCCCACACTGGGCTCTTTGCTCAGCACGGAGCCTGCTTCTCCCTCTCCCACTCCCCCTGCATGTGTTCCCTCTCTCACTGTGTCTCTGTCAAATAAATAAAATCTTTAAAAAAAAAAACTTTAAATATTAAAAAAAACAAAAACTAATACTAAAATTCAGAGGGCGCCTGGGTGGCTCAGTCGTTGGGCGTCTGCCTTCAGCTCAAGTCATGATCCCAGGGTCCTGGGATCGTGCCCCACATTGGGCTCCCTGCTCCACAGGAAGCCTGCTTCTCCCACTCCCCCTGTTTGTGTTCCCTCTCTTGCTGAGTCTCTGTCAAATAAATAAATAAAATCTTTTTAAAAAATAATAAAATTCAAAATAAAACATGAAAAATACTTAGAGGGAAGTTAATGCATATCAAAGTCCTCTTTTAAAAAATGTATTTTACATAACTGGATTGTCATTCATTGTCAAAGTGATGAAAGATGCCTCAAGCCCCTACATCCCTTTTTGTTCCAGTCAATACTCTAATCGTGTAAACTGAAGTTAAGGAGGGTTTCCACTGGAAAAATGGCTTCTTGGGCTATGTCTAGATCAGTGGCATCAAACTTTTAAAACTGCAACTCATACTAAGACATATAGTTGACATGTAGTTGACATAGACATGTAGTTGACTCACTGTGTGTACATAACACAGAAGACAAAGTTCCATAAAGTAATAACCTTTATGTGAGTAATACTATTATACATTCTGTTCTACTTCATTCTATTTCACTTTTTGGGGGTATTATTTAATAACATTTTGTATTGATTTCATGATCCACATGGTCCTAAAGCTTGAAAAAGGACTGGTAAGAGTGTTTCCTGAGAAGTCCCAAGTGTTTACCTCTCCTACTTTATTTATTTTATTTTTTTAAGATTTTATTTATTTATTTGACAGAGAGAGACACAGCAAGAGAGGGAACACAAGCAGGGGGAGTGGAAGAGGGAGAAGCAGGCTTCCCGCTGAGCAGGGAGCCCAACGCAGGGCTCGATCCCAGGACCCTGGGATCATGATCTGAGCTGAAGGCAGATGCTTTACAACTGAGCCACCCAGGCGCCCCTACCTCTCCTACTTTAAAGATACCTAATACTAAGTCTGAAATTAGGTCAAAATAAAAAGTTAAACACAAAAAGATATGGTACTGATTGGTTACTTAGTATAAAGACCACTGAGATTCTCAGTTAAGGATATCTTATTTGATGAATGCTCACTATTATTACTAGCATCATCCTTTCTATCACCCAGCATGGTGGCTCAGATTCATCTTCATTAACCATCTCTCTCATCAAATCAGTCATCAAATTCTGTGGATTCTATCCTCATACAACATGGCTCATATCTTCTCTGTTTTCCCCCTATTTTAAAAAATTGAGATCTGATCGACATAACTTTATATTAGTTTTAGATGTACAATATAATGATTTGATATGTGTATATATTATGAAATGATCAAAGTTCTTACTCTGTTTCAGTGGAGGATGGAAATCCTAAAAAACAGTAGACTTTGTTAGAAAAATAAGTATGGACGCTAAAATTTTAAGTACAACTACAAATAGAATATAAACATAATGAATAACTTCCAAATTAATAGGGGAAATAAGGAAAACAGTGTAACAGAAGGAAAAGAGAATAAAAAACACAAGAAAAAAAAAGGATAAATACAAACAAATGATAGAAATAAATCCAAATATTGCACATTACAATAAGTAAAGGTGGATAAAATTTACCTATTAATAAAAGACAGAGACTCTGAAATTGGATAATAAAGTTCAGCTACATGCTATTTAAATAAACATGTCAAAGACAGAATGACACCCAAATGTTGAAAATAAAGGGACGGGAAAAGTTTTAACAGGCAAATACCAACAAGAAGAACAGTATTTAAGTAGATAAATATTTAATAGAAAAAAAATAACAAATTAGTGCAACAGGCTCTTAACTATTGAAAACAAAAGTGGTTACCAAAGGGGAGGTGGCTGGGGGATGGGTGAAAGAGTAATGGAGATTAAGGACTGCACTTGTCATGATGAGCACAGGGTGATGTATGGAATTGTTGAATCACTGTATTGTATACCTGAAACTAATATAGCACTGTTGTTAACTATACTGGAGTTAAAATTAAAAAAAAAAAAGATATCTTGCTAAGAGATTATGCTTAGTCACTTCTTTCTCAATAGTATCCCATTCTCATCGCTAATAACAAACTTTGACCCTCCATGAAAAAAAAATAAATTTCACTGAGACTAGTAAAATCCCATGATACCCCCCAGGAGCTTGAAAACAGTAAGAAATTTTTAGGAAGATTATTTGTGTCAAGTCTTGTGAAAATAAATAAATGTCATTAAACATGGAGTTGGGAAGCCCTAAAAGGAGATCTCTCACACACTACCTTCCTCCTTAAGAAGCCATAACTCGCATTCCCCAACAGGAAGAAGCCTACTTTATATACCCTAACAGAAGGAAGGAAGAATTTCTTCCTACTCAGCAACAGCCCAGCCCGTGAGAGAAACCACCACACTCAACCAACAAGAAGCCATAACAGCCCCTTCTGGCTTCCTCCTTTCACCTATAAAAGCAAGCCCCTTTCCTCTTTTCTGGACTTGCCTATGGTTCACCATAAGTTTGCGTGTCCCCAATTCCACTTCTCTGCTATTCCCAAATAAGCTCATTTTGCTTGTAAAATAGCTGACTCTTGTTCTTTTTAAGGTCAACAGTCTTTAAAGTTAACTTTCATATCTATTTAGCAAACCTTTTTTATTTTATTTTATTTAAAGATTTTTATTTATTTATTGAGAGAGAGAGAGAGAGAGAATGGTAGAGAGAGAGCATGAGAGGGAACAAGGTCAGAGGGAGAAGCAGACTCCCTGCCGAGCAGGGAGCCCGATGTGGGACTCGATCCCGGGACTCCAGGATCATGACCTGAGCCGAAGGCAGTCGCTTAACCGACTGAGCCACCCAGGCGCCCCTAGCAAACCTTTTTTAATTGGGTAGAAGTTGATTTTCATTCTTGGAGTGAAAATACAGATCTCTTATCTTATACTTTTAAAAAAGATTTAACTTTTCGGGTGCCTGGGTGGCTCAGTTGGTTGGGCGACTGCCTTTGGCTCAGGTCGTGATCCCTGAGTCCTGGGATCAAGTCCCACATTGGGCTCCTGGCTCAGCGGGGAGCCTGCTTCTCCCTCTGACCCTCTCCCCTCTAATGCTGTTTCTCTCTCTCTCTCTCTCAAATAAATAATCTTAAAAAAATTAAAAAATGAAAAATTTAAATTTTCTTCCACCAGAATATAAAAGGGTACATAAATACAGATGAAGTAGATGGTAAGCAGAGAATCAGATAACATGATCAGATTTACATTTTATAGCCATCCCTATGGCTGCTGCTAAAGAATTATAGAGGGCAGGGACATAACCTAAACTGTCAACTGAAAAATACAGACTACAAAGTAATACATATATACCTGGCCCTTGAACAACACAGGTTTGAACTGTGAGGGCCCACTTTTATGTGGATTTTTTTCAATACAGTACAGTACTATAAATGTATTTTCTTTTATGATTTTCTTAATAAACTTTTCTTTAGCTTACTTTATTATAAGAATACAGTATGTAATACATATATAAAATATGGGATATTGGTAAAGCTTCCAATCACCAGTAGACTATTAGTAGTTAGGTTTTTGGAGACTCAAATGTTATATATGGATTTTTGACTGTGTGTTGGGGGGGAGATGGTGGTCAGCACCCCTAAGCCTCATATTGTTCAAGAGTCAAATGTATAGGACTGACTGTCTATCTTCAGCTCTAAAAAAATACTGGAACCAAGCAACTATACTAAAATTAGCAATCATTATATTTGGTAGAATTATTGGTAATTTTTTTTTAATTATTTTTAATTTTTTCTTCATACTTTGCTGGATCTTTCAAAATGATTACAATAAACATAGTATTTTTATGATGAAGAAAATGTTACTTTAAAAAAGTAGGTATTTCTAATACATTTTTAAAAAGAGGAATAGAAAGGAAATCTGAATATTATAAAACACAAAAATTCACTAACTTTTCTTTCATGGAAATTCAGCAGTATTTCAAATGGATTAAATATTGAAAACAAAATTTGATTGCTTTCAACCTTTATGATTTTAAAAGGTCACCTAAATATTTTGGTGTGGTATTTTCTTCTAGGAACTTGATCAAAATGCCACTGAAAAAGTCCAGGCAATGTTCACAGCCATTGATGAGCTCTTGTATGAGCAGAAGTTGAGTGTACATACTAAGAGTCTACAAGAAGAGTGCCAACAATGGACGTGTAGCTTTCCTCACCTCAGGTACTGAAGCCCTGTGGTTGGCTTGTATTCATGGCTAACACTAAGACTTGAAAAGCAGATATCCAAAAAAGCTTCTATTCTGAAATTTTTATAGGCTTGGTTTTAATGAATGTAAATAAGGCCATATGGTGTACAGACTCAGTTGAGAGAAAATTCAAGTTGAGGGAAATTTCTTGGGAGTTTTTATAACTACCACTATGTTGTCCTAATTGAGTAAAACAATTTCTATACCAGTAGCTGAGATCTGTGTATTGTGGCTGTCAAACAGCTCTTCTTTTGAGCAAGATGGTCAGAAAATGTATTTGTTTACACTGTTGTCTACAAGAAAATTCTTATGTATACTTGAAAGCAGACATAAGCTGTTAGGAAACTTTCCTCAGAAACCACATTACTGTACTTATGACTTAAAATTTATACTTAAAATTTATGAAGTATTATGTTCTTAAGAATATAATTCATACTTTTCACTAATTTGGCCTGGCTTTCATCCATTTTGGCAGATTTAATGAAGATTATTATAGAGGATGGAGGGAAAATTACAAATGTTTTCTCAGTTTCCTTGGATTTTTTTTTCAACAGTGGGAGGCTATAGTTTTATCTTTTCCATCTCCATTCTTTGGAAGAGAGCTATACCTCTAATAAGACTCTGGATTCACATTTTCTCTCAAGAATTATTCTTAATCAGTATCAGACTAAGTATGTACTGGACTTTTATATAGAACCAGCAAATTTGTTCTAAAATATCTACATTTTGTATGAATGACAGGTGAAGGTGCTTAATTGTCTCTTTATGTTGTTCATTTTGAAGGATTCTGGGTAGGCAGATAATCACTCCAAGTGAAAGTTATGGGCTGTATCCTAGATCCCCTTCTATTGTTTCAGCTTCACATGAGGCAACACTTTCTCAAGAAAGAGATTCTACTATGTAAGTATTTTTAATATGTAAGTATTTATGTATCCAAATGTGCAAGTGTTATATTCTGCCAGTTATACTAGGGGATTAAAAAACTTTTTACTTGTTGGTATTTAATAAAGCACAGAAAATTCTGTTAAGATTGACTATAGTTTTTGTACATATAAGAATTTTGTTATATAATTTTTTTGTTCATAAAGTAAGATATTCCCTAGGGTTTAAGGATATTTTTGTTATTCAGATCCATCTCTGGATCTGAATATACATAAATATAAATATATATTTATATTTATATATTTACATAAAAATATATATTTTATAAATATATATATTTATATATATATAATATAAATACAGGCACTTCCTGCTTGAAATAAAGTGTAGATAGACTGGGTTAAAAAAATTTAGGGGTCTGAGAAACACACTTTAACAATTTTTTGAGGGATGCCTGGGTAGCTCAGTCGGTTAAGCGTCTGCCTTCGGCTCAGGTCATAATCCCAGGGTCCTGGGATCAAGTCCTGCACTGGCTCCTTGCTCTGTGGGGAGCCTGCTTCTCACTCTGCCTGCCACTCCCCCTCCTTGTGCTAGTGCTCTCTCTCTCTCTGACAAATAAATAAATAAAATCTTAAAAAAATAAAAATTTTTTGAAAAAATTTTGGAAAAAGTGATTTCTTAAACATAATATTAATTATAACTTAATTTCTTTGCAGAAATTAAACTGCTATTAGTTTATTAGCCTAAATTGGATAATTAGTATATTATTTAAAATAGCTAATTCTTTTGAATACCTCAAACTCTTTAAACAACAGCAAAATAAACCTAAGTAGGATTATTCCACTTTCTTACATTATACACAAAAATAAATTCAAAATAGATTAAAGGGGGGAACCTGGGTGGCTCATCGATTGAGCCTTTGGCTGCGGTCAATATCCCGGAGTCCTGGGATTAAGCCCAAAGGGAGAGGGAGAAGCAGACTCCCCACTGAGCAGGGAGCCTGATGCGGGGCTCGATCCAGGGCCCTGGGATCATAACCCGAGCCGAAGGCAGACGCTCAACTGACTGAGCCACCCATGCACCTAGAGGGGAACCCTCTTGCACTGTTGGTGGGAATGCAAACTGGAGCAGCCACCCTGGAAAACAGTATGCAGTTTCCTTAAAAAGTTAAAAATAGAACTATCCTATGATCTAGCAATCATACTACTATTTACCCAAAGAATACAAAAATACTAATTCAAAGGGATACATGCACCCCGATGCTTATAGCAACATTATCTACAATAGCCAACTTACAGAAACAGCCCAAGTGTCCATCAACTGATGAATGGCTAAGGAAGATGTGGTGTGTATATGTATATGTATATATATATATATATATATATATGTATATATGCATACACACACACACACACACACACACACAAACACACACAATAGAATATTACTCAACCATAAAAAGGAATGAAATCTTGCCATGGATGGATCTAGAGAGTATAATGTTGAGTGAACTAGAGAAAGACAAATACCATATGATTTCACTCATATGTGGAATTTAAAAAACAAAACAAAGCAAAGAGAAACAATATCTTAACTATAAAAAACAAACTGATGGTTACCAAAGGGGAGTTGGGGGGGGGAATGGGTGAAATAGGTGATGGGGATTAAGGATTGCATTTGTGATGAGCACCGGGTAACGTATGGAAGTGCTGAATCACTATACTGTACACCTGAAACTAATATCACACTGTATGTTAACTAACTGGAATTTAAATAAAAACATTTTTAAAAAACCTAAATAGGATTATTTCAAAACTTATGTTTACCCTTAAATCTATTTAAAACATCAGTGTTTTAATTTTTTTGTTGTTATTCCTAATTTTTTTCCCAAGACTGTAGTTTTACTTATTTGAATCACCTTCTAAGAGTTTTAGTAGCAGTTTTGATGCCTTTTTGGACTTGGAGTCATTTCAAAAGACCACAGAGTAAAACATTACTGCATTGGGCTAGTTATGATTACAGGACCTGGGTTATCAACTAAATTAGTCAGAGAATGGTATTTGTTTACTTTTCTCAAAGGATTTAAATTCAAGTTTCTGATCACTAGGTTGAGCTTTCTTTTTAAATTTAAACCTCATGTATTACATCAATAAGCCTTTTTAAGTTTACTCTTTTTATATAACTTCTAGATTTTTACAAACTAATGTCTTCCACAGAAATGACATATTCTTTAATTCTCACTGACCAAAATTACATAACTCATGTCATGTCATTAATATATTTACCTGATGTAGGATAAAATTTATATATGCCTTATTATTTTTATATAAGTAGTAGTTCCACTTAGACACTCATCTCCAAGGATATAAGTCAATCAAGCCTGAGCAATTTAGCCCCTCTTTTTTTAGGATATCTGACTAAATCTTTCTGCAACATACTGTAAACTTCCTTTCTTTCCTTTCCACTTGCTACCCCACTCCTGATAAGCCCTTCTTATTTTTGGATTTGCTTTTCTGGACTATCTGCTTACATTTTTCAATTATTACTTTCATTTACGATACAGATAAACATCTATCTATACTTCATACACAGACATATACCTAGATGAAACAAATTATCCAGCTTTATTAGCATACCACTGCTTATAGAAAGCAATAACAAATATAATCCATGATATTTACTTTCATGTAACCACTACTTTGTCCATATGTGTCATTTTCTTGAGTACCATTTGAACTCAGAGCATTCAAAAATATTATATATTTTAATTAATCATAATTATTATTGATGCTCAAATTGTTACAACTTGGCCATGTCAAGCTAGTTCCTTTGTTTTTGTTTTGACTGTATCCTTGCTTTGTGGTTACAGCAGGATGTTCCAGGCCCATCTTTAATTTTTTCTTCAAGACAAAGAATGAGCTGAAATTTAAGGAGAACTGCTTCTGTTGAGAGGCTAATCCTTGAAAATTTGGGTAGTGAAGGTCTGTAACTTGGTGCTGCTGCTATTTTACCACTTTTTGCTATAGGAGGTATGGAAAAATGTGTCATGAATTAATTTTGATTTTTTTTTCAGTTTAACAAATCAATTTGCCATAAAATGAGGTTTATAAATGAGACTTTCTACAAAAATAATATTGCAAATTATATCCATTCTTGCCACTCAACATTATATCAGATTTTCCTTTTAAGATTAAAGGTTGATCGGGGTACCTGGGTGGCTCAGTCAGTTAAGTGTCTGCCTTTGGCTCAGGTCATGATCCCAGAGTCCTGGGATCAAGCCCCGCTTCGGGCTCCCTGCTCAGTAGGGAGTCTGCTTCTCCCTCTCCCTCTGCCTCTCCTCCTTGCTCTCTCTCTCTCAAGTAAATAAATAAAATTCTTGAAAATCTTTAAAAAAATATAAGGGTTGATCCTTTCTGTCTCCCACTTAAAAATTTTCAATAGCTTCCCACTGAATTTAAGATAAAAATGTAAAATTATATCATAAGCTGACTTAAGCCCATATCTCTATCATTGTCTTCTGTCATTCTCTCTTTTATTCATTAATCCTCCCAAGTGGCTTTCTATAAGGTGTCAAATGTACTAAACCAGGTATTTGGCCCAGTTTCTATTCTTGAGTTCTTGGGCCAGAGAAGAGTGGTACAATAAAAAAAGACAAAAATACAGTATTTTCTTCTTTGTATTTCTTAACACCTAGCACAGTGATTACAACATGGTTAGCATTCAGTTTTTTTTTTTTTAAGATTTTATTTATTTGACAGAGAGGTAGAGAGAGCACAAGTAGGCAGAGCGGCAGGCAGAGGCAGAAGGAGAAGCAGACTCCCTGCTAAGCAGGGAGCCCGACGCGGGACTCGATCCCAGGATCCTGGGATCATGACCTGAGCTGAAGGCAGGTGCTTAACAGACTGAGCCACCCAGGCACCTGTATTCAACGTTTTTTTGCTAAATTAAAGCATAACATATTTATATGATACCAAATGATATGAAAATGAATTAATGTATACATTGATATTATGGTTGTGAAACAGTGTTAACAATCAAAACAAATATTGGTGTCTAGGTCAAAATGGAATTCCAGGAGCATAAAATAATAGAAGATGGTGGCAGCATAAGGAGAAAACACAGGCAAAAAAGGACCATGAGAATATGACTTTAAGGACATTTCCACTTGAAAAAAATTATGCACTTTAGTGTTTCAAGTTAGCATAAGGAGCTGTCTACCTTTAGTTTAAATACATAGCTCAGCAAAAATTAGCTAACTATAATACCTACTAAGATGTTAAAGTGCATGACTATTTGCAGAATTATAATCCTTGAACACCACTAAAAGAATAGAGAGCACAGAATAGAGAAACCTTTGTGTAAATGGCTAAATGACTTTCAGCAAGTGTGCCAAGACTACACAACGGGGAAAGGACACTCTTCAACAAATGATGCTGGGGGGCGCCTGGGTGGCTCAGTTGTTAAACGTCTGCCTTCGGCTCAGGTCATGATCTCAAGGTCCTGGGATCGAGCCCCGCATCGGGCTCCCTGCTCCGCAGGAAGGCTGCTTCTCCCTCTCCCACTCCCCTTGCTTGTGTTCCTTCTCTCGCTGTGTCTCTCTCTCTGTCAAATAAATAAATAAAATCTTTAAAAAAAATGTGAATTGTGTAAGATTGTTGAATCACAGACCTGTGCCTCTGAAACAAATAATACATTATATGTTAAGAAAAAAGAAGATAGTAGGAAGGGAAAAATGAAGGGGGGAAGTCAGAGGGGGAGATGAACCATGAGAGACTATGGACTCTGAGAAACACACCGAGGGTTCTAGAGGGGAGGGGGGCGGGGGGATGGGTTAAGCCTGGTGATGGGTATTAAAGAGGGCACGTTCTGCATGGAGCACTGGGTTTTATGCACAAACAATGAATCATGGAACACTACATCAAAAACAATGATGTAATGTATGGTGATTAACATAACATAATAATAAAAAAAATAAGAATAAAATAAAATGATGCTGGGAAAACTAGGTACCCAGATGC